CAGACAGGAAGATTAGGTAGGAAGAGGTGAGTTGGAATTTCTACCAGTCCTTCATTGTAACTGTATCCCTTTACCTGTCAATTTAATATGTCCACCTTCCCAATGATGCACCTTTGTCTCATCCAGGACCAGGAAGGAAAGGATGCCATGATGGCTGTATTGACATTAAATTCCACATGAAGGGGCCATGAAAATCCCAGAGAGTTTCACAAACACTAAACTCTATTCAGGCATCACACTCTATCTCAAAAAAAAAGATTTATCACACGGTGCGGGGGTGCCTTTTCTAGTCTTGATCATGCTTGGGGCTCCTTCTAGGGCCTTGTCACCTTCTCTCTCCTCATAGGCAACTCTCTGGCCCACTCATGATGGGTATCACTCCATGTGGGGTGATCCACACTTACATATGAATGTTATGCTCAGCTTCTCTCTCTCTTAAATAAATCCTGCTGGGGCTGGCATTGTGGCTCAGTGGGTGGCATCCCATATGCGCAATTATTTGAATCCTGGGTGTTCCACTTCCAATCCAGGTCCCTTCTAAGGTGCTTGGGAAAGCAGTAGAAGGTGGCCCAAGTTCTTGGGCCCCTGCCACCCAAGTGGGAGCCCCAAATGGAGTTCCAGGCTCCTAGCTTCAGCCTGGTCCAGCTCTAGCCATTTATGGCAATTTGAGGAGTGAACCAGTGAATGGAAGATTATCTTACCCTCTGCCTCTTGGTAACTCTGCCTTTCAAATAAGAAAATAGACAAATACAAAAATAAATCTTTAAAATAAACCCCACCCTCATTTGTGCAATGTATGCTTCTGCTTTGAATTCTTATCTCTGTAGGGACAAGAGCCAGGAAAAGATTAAAATACACAGGCCTAGGGCCGGCACTGTAGCATATTAGGTTAATCTTTCTCCTGTGGCAAGGCATCCCATATGGGTGCCAGTTCTAGTCCTGGCTGCTCCTCTTCCAATCCAGCTCTCTGCTATGGCCTGTGAAAGCAGCAGAGGATGGCCCAAGTGCTTGGGCCCCTGTACCCAAATGGGAGACCCGGAAGAGGCTCCTGGCTGCGGATGAGTCCAGTTCCAGCCAGTGTGGCCATTTGAGGAGTGAGCCAGCAGATGGAAGACCTTTGTCTCTCCCTCTCACTGTCTGTAACTCTACCTCCCAAATAAATAAAATCTTTAAAAAAAAAAAAAAAAAAAAAAAAAAGATACATAGGTCCAGGGCCAGCATTGTGGTGTTACAAGTTAAGCTGCTGCCTGTGATGCCGACATCCCATACAGGCCCCAGTTCTAGTCCTGGCTAATCCATTTCTGATTCAGCTCCTAGCCAACGCACCCGGGAAACAGTGGAAGATGGCCCAAGTCTTTGGGCCCCTCCCATGTAGGAGACTGGAGGAAGCTCTTGGCTCCTGGTTTCTGGCTTCGGATTGGCCCAGCTAGGGCTGTTGCAGCCATTTGGGTTATGAGCCAGTGGATGGAAGTTCTCTCTCTCCCTCTAACTCTAGCTCTCTGTAAATCTGCCTTTCAAATAAATAAATCTTTTAAGAAATATATTATCAAGAGATCTTCCTTACTCTCACCCTCAGTGGCTCACTCTCAAAACTGCCTGCTCTTATCTACAAATTCTGCCTCATAATCCCAACACTGTTAATAGCATTTCAGAGTCAGAAAAGGGCTCCTCCTTTTACAGAGGTAGAACATAGCCCTTAATAGCCCACACTCCGGTTAGAACCATACTTAAGGGCTCCTCCATTCAGTTACATGCTGTTTACAAAGTAGTAAGGCCTGAGGAATGTTAGCATATACCACTGTTGTGCCATCATCATGGAATGTACTTACACAATACCAGATGGTACGGCCTAAATACATGTGACACAGCTAGCATTCTTAGGATTCAAACCTATACAGCATGTAGCTGAACTGAATACAGCATGCAACTGTTAACACTATGGTATTTGTGCATCTACAGAAATGGTAGAGTAAAAATGGGATACAAATAGTACAAAAAGGTACAGCTGTATAAGGCACTTACCATGAATGGAGTTTGCAGGACTACAAGTTGCTTTGAGTGAGTCAGTGAGTGAATGCCAAGGCCTAAGAATTGTTGAGTATTACGGTAGATTTTCTAAACACTATACTTAGGCTACACAATAAGCATTACAGTTTTTTCCTCTCTTCAATAAATTAATCTTGGCTTACTCTAACTTTTTTACTTTATAAACTTTCAAATATTTTTACTCTTTTGCAGTAAGAGCTAAATACATCAAACAGTTGTACAAAATCTTCCTTTGTATCTTTATTCTACACACTTTTTTCTCTTTCCAAACATCTTTTCAAATTTTTCTTTGGGGGTCAGTGCTGTGGCACAGTATATAAAGCTGCCACCTGCAGTGCTGGCATCCCATTTGGGTGCCAGTTCAAGTCCCGGCTGCTCCACTTCCGATCCAGCTCTCTGCTATGGCCTGGGAAAGTAGTAGAAGATGGCCCTGCACCCACATGGGAGGCCCAGAAGAAGCTCCTGGCTCTTGACTTGGATTGGTGCAGCTCCAGCTATTGTGGACAATTGGGGAGTGAAGCAGCAGATGGAAGACCTCTCTCTCTCTCTCTGCCTCTCCTTCTCTCTGTGTAACTCTTTCAAATAAATAAATCTTAAAAATTTTTTTTTTTCTTTGCTAAAAACTAAGACATCACAAACATTAGTCTAGGCAGGATCATCAAGATCAGTGTCTTCCAGGGTCAGCATTATGGTGGCAGGTTAAGCCACTGCCTGCAAAGCCAGCACCTCGTGTGAGCCCTGGTTGGAATCCTGGTTGCTCCACTTCTGATCCAACTACCCACGAATGCACCTGGGAAACTAGTAGAATATGGTGCAAGCACTTGAGGCCCTGCAACCACATGGGAAACCCAGATGGAGTTCCAGGTTTCTGGCTTCCACCTGGCCCAGCTCTATTTGTTGCAGTCATTTGGAAAAAGTAGCAAATGCAGAAGATTCTTTGTCTCTCCCTCCCTCTCTGTAACTCTGCCTTTCAAATAAACAAATAAATATTTTAAAAATGTCCACTCTGCCTGTCAAAAAAAAAATATTTTAAAAAGTTGCATCATTTAATGAGTTTCTTGTGTTTAAAAATAGGGGGCCAGCGTCCCATATGGGTGAAGGTTTGAGTCCTAACTGCTCAACCTTCAATCCAGCTCCCAGCTAATGTGTCTGGGAAAGCAGCAGAAGACGGTCCAGATGCACAGGCCCCTGCCACCCACATAGCAGACCCAGATGGAGTTCCAGGTTGCTGGCTTCAGCCTGGCCTAGCCCTGACTGTTGCAGACATTTGGAGAGTGAATCAGCAGATGAAGCTCTCTGTCTCTCCCTCTCTGTAACTCTTTCAAATAAACAAATAAATATATAAAAAAAATTCACAGTCTTTCCACCTCTACATCTTGATCCACTAGAAGGTCTCAGAAGCAGTAACACCGATGGATCTGTCATTATAACAACTTCTTCGGGAGTATTTCTTGAGGGACCTCCCCGCGGCTCTTCTTGAGGAGGTCTCACTCTTCAGAAATAGGAGGGTACATCAAAAAGTTTGTGGAGGGGCCGGCGCTGTGGCACAGTGGGTTAATTCCCTGGCCTGAAGTGCCGGCATCCCATATGGGTGCCGGTTCGAGACCTGGCTGCTCCTCTTCCAATCTAGCTCTCTGCTATGGCATGGGATAGCAGTAGAAGATGGCCCAAGTCCTTGGGCCCCTGCACCCACGTGGGAGACCTGGAAGAAGCTCCTGGCTACTGATCAGCACAGCTCCGGCCCTCGCAGCCAATTGGGGAATAAACCAGCGGACGGAAGACCTCTCTCTCTCTCTCTCCTCTCTGTGTGACTCTGACTTTCAAATAAATAAATAAATCTTTAAAAAAAAAAAAAGTTTGCGGAATAATAAAATTAAAAAATAAATTCTGGGGGCCGGCGCTGTGGCATAGTGAGCAGACCCACCGCCTGCAGTGCCGGCATTCCATATGGGCACCGGTTAGTCCCAGCTGCTCCACTTCCAATCCAGTTCTTCCACTTCCAATCCAGCTCTCTGCTATGGCCTGGGAAAGCAGTGGAAGATGCCCCAAGTACTTGGGCCCCTGCACCTACGTTGGGAGACCCAGAAGAAGCTCCTGGCTCCTGACTTGGGATCGGCGCAGCTCTAGCCTTTGCGGCCATCTGAGGAGTGAACCAGAGGATGGAAGACCTCTTTCTCTCTGCCTTTCTTCCTCTCTCTGTGTAACTCTTTCAAGTAAATAATAAATAAATCTTTAAAAAAAAATTCTGGTGCAAGAAATTTTTGAAACCCATGTAGTTTTTTTTCTTAATATGCATTTTCCATGAATGTTTTGAAGCCGCATATGTCCATGGTGGCTTGCTTTTTTTCACTACAGGTCTGCTTGTAAACAAATAATACACTGTGAACATCCCTCTCTATTCAAGAAAATCTTTGGAAGTTGGAGTCTTAGGTTTTCAAATTTCTGAAGAGTTTGCTGAAGTCTCCAAGAACTTCTGCTAAATTCTTCCCTGTGGATTTTCTTGGAGGTACTTAATGCTTCTGCAGTTTCCTTTTCTCTTGCCTTTTTTTTTTTTTAATTTATGTTTTGATTTGAAAAGCAGAATGACAGAGAAAGAGGGAGAGACAGAAACATCTTACATCAACTGGTTCACCCTTGAAATGCCCACATTAGCCAGGGTCAGGCAGAAGCCAAGAGACTGAAATTCCACCTAGGTCTTCCACATTGGTGGCAAGGACTCAAGTACGTGAGTCATCATGCGCTGCCTTCCTAGGTCCATTAGGAGGAAGCTATAAGGGAAGCAGAGTAGCTGGGACAGGAACCAGGCACCCAGATATGGGACGGGGTGTCCCAAGCTGTGGCTAAACCCACTGTGCCACAGCAACCGCTCAATCTTGTCTCTTGTTAAGCTATGCATTCACTAGGCAACAGGACTTTTCCAGCTCCATTATAATCATTTATTTTTCTTTTGAAAGGCCAAGAGACACAGACAACATGGCGAAGTATTTCAATTGTTGGTTCACTCCCCAAAACGCCCGCAAGAGCCAGCGCTGGACCAAGTTGAAGCCAGCTTGCCCACGTGGAAGGCAAGCGCCCAAGTAACTGAACCATCACTTGCTGCCTCTCAGGGTATGCATTATTAGGAAGCCGGAATAGGAGCAGAACCAAGACACGAACCAAGGCACTTCATTAAGAGACGTGGGTGTCTCAACCACTGCACCAATCACCTACCACCCTCTTATATGACCACTACTGTGTATGCAGTTCCTTGTTGACATCACCATGCTTATGCAGTCCATCAGAGCACCAATTAATAACCCTGTCCGAGTTCCTAACCCTCTCTGTGCTTGTTTCATCAATCAAAACATGAGAACCTAAGAATTAACCAGCATTTAAAGTGCTTATAAGAATGCCTCGCACTTAACAAGTTCTATATAAGCATTGGTTATTATTATATTATAGCTTTCACATATTTTTTGTCCCACACTTTGGTGAAATCTGGGTTAAAACACAAACAAGCAGGGCCAGCGCTGTAGCGCAGTAGGCTGATCCTCCACCTGCGGCGCTGGCATCCCATATGGGCGCCAGTTCTAGTCCTGGCTTCTCTTCCAATCCAGCTCTCTACTATGGCCTGGGAAAGCAGTAGAAGATGGCCCAAGTCCTTGGGCCCCTGCACCCATGTGGGAGACCTGGAAGAAGCTCCTGGCTCCAGATCGGCACAGCTCCGGCCCTCGCGGCCACTTGGGAAGCGAACCAACGGAAGGAAGACCTTTCTCTCTCTCTCTCCCTCTGTTTGTAACTCTACCTCTCAAATAAATAAATAAAATCTTAAAAAAAAAAAAAGATACAAACAAGCAAAAAATAATGATAAAAACAAAAACTAATAAATCTCCTGTTCTTCTTTAAAGATTTGTTTATTTATTTGAAAGGCAGAGTTAGAGAGAGAAGGATAGACAGAGAGATCTTCATCGACTGGTACACTCCCCATGGTACACTCCCCAAATGGCTGCAATGGCCAGGGTTGGGCTAGAACCAAGATCTTCATCCAGGTGTCCCATATGAGTGCAGGGGCCCAAGTCCTTGGGTCATCTTCTGCTGCCTTCCCAGGTGCATGAGCAGGGAGCTGAATTGGAAGTGGAGCAGCCAGGACTGAAACCAGCACCCATATGGGATGCTGGTGTTGCAGGCAGCGGCTGAATTCTCTACATCACAACCCAGTCCCAAGGCAAATCTCAAGGCTTCTCCAGAGCCCCTCAAACTCCTCCTTACATCTGATTAGCCCATCAAATGCCATCCCTAAATCAGTCACTATTTAGGGGGACAGAATACAATGACAATTATGATCATCAAGACCTATCCCCTTGGCCAGTGCCGCGGCTCAATAGGCTAATCCTCCACCTTGCGGCGCTGGCACACCGGGTTCTAGTCCCAGTCGGGGTGCCAGATTCTGTCCCGGTTGCCCCTCTTCCAGGCCAGCTCTCTGCTGTGGCCAGGGAGTGCAGTGGAGGATGGCCCAAGTGCTTGGGCCCTGCACCCCATGGGAGACCAGGAGAAGCACCTGGCTCCTGCCTTCGGATCAGTGCAGTGCGCCAGCCATGGCTGCCATTGGAGGGTGAACCTACAGCAAAAGGAAGACCTTTCTCTCTGTCTTTCTCTCTCACTGTCCACTCTGCCTGCAAAAAAAAAAAAACAACAACAACAACAACAAACAAACAAACAAAAAACCTCTCCCCTGGGGTTGGGAGAGGGTTGTCAGATTCCAAGTTAGCAAAAGACACAGGAAGTTTGACATAGCAGCAATGGTACAGGATTTAGAGAATACCCTTGAAAGGCAGTGAAGACCGCAGGTTCTGATTCCTGGGGAGTAAAGGCAGGTTTTGTTAGTGTCCCCAGCATCTAAAGAACCTAATTACCACACCTGGACTAGCTACCCAATTTTCTCAAAGGCTCAGTTTATCACCGTAAATGAAAATAGCCCAAGCTATCTCCAATCAGATGTCAGAATTAAAAGTATGCTTACATCAATTGTATTCCCATGGTGTACAGATGATTCTTGTACCTCTCCCACTCCTGGCCAAAGGACCTTCTGAAACACACGGTGGGGCAGTCTGAGTGGTACAAGAGATGGATCTGGAAAGGGAGAAGTTACCTGACTCTAAACTAACAATGCCCTTCAGAACCTTGGTCAGATTTTGTTACTTCTCTTAAGAACATTCATCCTGAACTCAGCCAACAAAGTCCTAACTTAACATTTTAAGTCTTTTAGAGCTGTATGAGCAGCAAAATGAGTAAGTCTGTCACTTCTGGTCTTGCTGTTACCTTCTCTAAGGTAGTTTCCCAATCTGTAAAAACTGAATAACTAACAAATTTATTTCACAGTGCCTAAAAAACATTAGTTCCTTCTCTTGAGGCACCAGTGTTCCTGAAATTGAAGAGCAATACAAAGTCTATAATATAAAAGTCCCTATAATATTTTCATTGATACGTAAAGCTGCAGTTACAAACAAGGCCTATCAGCCTTACCACGCAGTGGAGGATTCTGGAAAGCAAAGTACTTAAGGGAAAGGAACTAGCATGCCGTGGAGGAGAATCTGTACTGATATTCATACAGCCTTTACTAAACTACACACACTGTGCTATCTTTAGTTCCTGAAGAGTTTGAAAATAACATCCCTGTTTCTAGAGATGAGGAAAGATGGCTTAGGGAGGAAGGAAAATAGCACTGCGGACGATGTTAGATGCTTGCCATATGCACTGTCACGTTCTGCAATTATGTGATTTCTCTGGGTGACAGGCCTGATTTCAGTAGTGAGTCTAAAGTCATTGCCTATAGCACAGAAAATCATTTGTTTCCTCAGGATCAAACAACAATATTCCAGAAACTCACCCCCCTCACCCCCCAACATACACAAGTTGGGATTAGATATTCACTCTGGATTTCTTTTCAGTGCTGTTCAGACCAAAGGTTCCAAAGTGGGCCCACAAGCGAAAAACACCCTTACAACTTTGCCTAGGCTTAAAAGCTGCTCTCTCCCCTGCTTCCAGCTCAACCACTAGAGGGCCAGACCATTAAAAGGAAAAAAAAAATACAGCAGTTATTTAACTAGGGCTCTAGAGGAATCACCCTGCCTTGGCCATTAACCATGTGACCTTGGGTAAGTTACTTTTACCTCTCTAAACCTGTCTCCTCACCTGTAAAGCAGAAATAACGCAGCACCCCCCTCATCTAAGTCAGGAATAACGGTTGTGCAAATTAAGACGAGCTACGCGAACCAGCGAGAACCATGCCTGCACGCAGAGCTTAGCAAATTTCAGTTCTCACTGCCCGAGGACAGCGGTACAGCCCCGACGGCTGCGTCCAGGTCCGAGGGCTTCGTGATGTCTGGGCACTGGCCTTGCCGGCCGGAATCCCCTCAAAAAGCTCAACAGGTCTCCTAACCAGGACTTGCCCAGGAACCTTTCGACCCCGACCCAAAAACGCCCAATAGGGCTTGGCCTCCGGTTTCCGACTGCTCCGAGGGCCGTCCCTGAGCCCAGCCGAACCACCCCATTTCCGCCTCGGCTCGGGAACTTCTCCCCGCCTCCGGGGGCCCGAGCTGCCCTCAGCCCGGCTGCTCTGCACACCGGTCTGGGGGTAGGTCGCCCGGCGTCCCCTTCCCAGAAGGCGCCAGCCCTGAGGGCTCCGGAGAAGCGCTCAATCTGGTCAAGGAGCACGTCGGCCACACACACACACCCAGAGAAGGCGCCTTCAGCGCCACCCAGGCCTGCCGCCGGGAGCCCCTGTCGGCGCAGGGCGCACGGTAGGCCCCTTTCTAGCCCCCAGGAACGCGTGGGCTCCGGCCCGAAGCCACCACGTGGGGGCTCCAGGCATGCCAAGGTGTCCCTGGAACCAGCCCTAGGACTGCTACCCGCGCGGGCCCTAGTCCGGCTCCAAACTGGCTTCAGGGGCACCCCCGGCCTGGCTGCCCCCTCACACCTTTCTACAGGGGCTTCAGACACCTTCCGCAGCCCGGAGACAAGCTCGCGGCAGACCTCAAGCCCCAAGACCGCCTCGGCCCAAGCACCCAGTTGCCTGGTCGCCTTACTCACCCATCGCTGCTCCGCTCGCTCAGACTTGGCGGCGGCAGCTTCAGCGGCAGCTTCAGCAGACAATATGGCGGACCCGCAGGACGGCAGCCCGAAAGGCACAAACTCTCCGCGCCGGAACGAAACGCGTTCTCGGCCCCGCCGCCTGGGTCTTACCGAAGGTGCGCACTTAAAGAGACCGCAGCTCCTAGAGGTGGGGAACAGGGACGGAACTCGAAAGGCGTGGCTGGACGGGACTGGGAGGGGTACGCACTAAAAAGAGTTTAACGTGCTTAGCAGTGCTCAACTGTTTTCTGCTACTGCTGTTCCGAGGGAGGTCTCCTCCCTGAGAAAGTTTTGCTTCCAGACACGTATCGCTTCCTTTGCTAATTAAAGCCCGTCACAGACGCCGAGCTAAATACGAATCAGGAATCACGTGGAGGGGGGAAGTGACTCGCTCAGGATTGTAGAGATAAGGACGTGGTGAAGAGTGAACCCAGGGTTTCTGACCGAGCCTGCTGCCCACACCCCTAGTTGAAACTGCGATCTTTCTGAGAGATACAAAATTAAAATAAATAAACAAATAAGGAGACGTGCGCAGTACAGTTGACAGAGCGATTTCACAATAATTATTTCCAATGTATCCTCACCGCAAACTCCTTAGGGCAGGGATGGGTTCCGTACTGCTCAGCGCAGTATCTGCGGCATCTAACACAGTATCTGGCACGTGGTTGTTGAATGAAAAACAGGACAGTGAGTTACACGCAGCAAGGAATATAATCTCCCTTTTATTTTTAAAAAAGACTTGCTTTCTTTAAAAGGCTGAGTGACAGAGAGAGAAGGAGAGACAGAGATTTTCCCTCTGCTGCTTCATTCCTCAAACGCCTGCCACAGCCAGCGTTGTGCTAGGGCCAAGCTAGGAGCCAGAAACCGCAATCCAGGTCTCCCACGGGGGAGACCAGAGTCCAAGCTCTTGAGCCACCACTGGATGGAAGTGGGGCGGCAGAGACTTGGGGACTTGAGCCAGGCACTCCAACAGGGAAGGGACTTGAGCCAGGCACTCCAACAGGGAATGCGGCACCACAATGCCCACCCTTAGTCTCCTTTTTTAAGAGATCAGGAAATCGAGGCTCTGAGTGTTCCTGTACCCTTCTGTTTAAAAAAGCAGACTGTTATTTCTTTATTTGAGAGGCAGGGAAATAGGGGGAGAGAGAGAGAGATCTCATTGCTAATTTCCCCCTAACTGTCCACACAAGCCTGGGAGCCTGGAATGCAATTCAGGTCTCCCAGGTGGGTGGCGAGGAACCAACTGCTTGAGCTCTCACTGCTGCCTCTCAGGGTCTGCATGAGCAGGATGCTGGAATCCGATTTGAACCCCGGCACTCTGATGTGGGATGTGGACAGGCGACCTAACCAGCCTCTTAACTGATAGGCTAAGCCCCATAATCTTGCAGATGTTATGTTGTGGAATTTATGACTGGCTCAAAGGAAGGTACTTCAAAATGTGTGTGGAGAGGTTGGCGCTGTGGTGCAGTGGGCTAGGCCTCCGCCTGTGGTGCCAGCATCCCATATGGACACCTGTTCGTGTCCCAGCTGCTCCTCTTCTGATCCAGCTCTCTGCTATGGCCTGGGAAAACAGTGGAAGATGACCCACGTGCTTGGGTCCCTGCACCCACATGGGACCTGGAAGAAGCTCCTGGCTCCTGTCTTTGGATTGGCTCAACTCCGACCATTGCAGCCGTTTGGGAAGTGAACCAGCGGATGAAAGACCTTTCTCTCTGTCTTTCCTGCTGTGACTCTACCGCTCAAATAAATTAGTAAATAATCTTTAAAAAAAAAAGTGTATGTGGAAAATGGAATTAAAAGTTTTTAACTCTGGGACAGAGCTCATCATGCTGCTGGTATTTATTTATTAAAGATTTATTTTATTTGAAAGGCAGCAGAACAGAGAAAAGGAGAGACAGAAACCGATCTTCCACCCAGTGATTCACTTCCCAAATGGCCACAACAGCCAGGGCTGGGCCAGGCTGAAGCTTGGAACCTGGCACTCCTGGGTTTCCCACACGGGTGGCAAAGGCCCAAGGACTCAGGCCCTTATCTGCTGCCTGCCAGGGTGCACAGTAGCAGGAAGCTGGATCAGAAGTGGAGGAGCCAGGACTCAAACTGGTATTTTAAGATGCAATGCTGGTGTCCCAAGAGACTTAACCCACAGTACCACCAACCTCAGTCCCTCTCCATGAACTTTTTGAAGCACGTTTGTATTAGGCCTCTGTTTGCATAATGACATGCCAGTCTTCCTGTCTCCAAATCACTGGTCACAAGGGGGTCCTGTCTTCTGGAAACAGATTGAGGGATCTGCTCTCTGGTCCCTAGGGTTTGTCACAACAAATTACCAATTCTAGTTACGTGCCCGCGTCATGAAGGGAAACAACTCAAGGCAGACTGTGTGCCTCAGTCAGGAAAGGGAGCACTCTTTTCCCCTTGCTATTACCACTGCTCAAGGCCAAACCTCGTTACTCTCTCCCAGTCTCTTCTGCCTGCCTCCAGGCGCTCTCACTCCGTCTCCTTAAAAGCAGCCCATGCAGTGTCACTCCTCTGCTTCGGTAACTTCCACCCTTGGGCGCCCAAACTTTTCCCTGTGGCACGCAGGGTGGCCCTGACCAGTTTCTCGGGTCAGTCTCTACCAGGCAGCCCACAGCCCATCCGTATTTGGAGAACCACTTTTCCCCAGATGTGCTCCCATTTTCTTTTATGCCTGCAAAAGACATGCTGTTCCTCTGCTTTAATGCAGTGCCTCCCCCTCCGCACCCCCACCCTCACCCACCTGGTGAACTACTCACAAAATTCCAAAGATTGCTTCTGAGAAGCCCATCTTTCCAGACAGCATATCTGTACGGTCTGCTCTCAGTTTCCCTGAACATTTGTATTCCCTTTTCCTTAGCGCTTGACACTCTGATCTACTCACAAGGTGCACCCCTCCCCTGTTGTGGATAGAGAGGTGGAATTCTCATCTGTGTAACTCAGTGCCTAGCACTGACTCAAGGGATGCACCAAAAACATCTGGAGGTGTCTGTGTCTCCACACCTTAGCTTCTCTGCATATCCTGTGGCCATAAGGGACTCAGGGGACATGGGCTGGATAGATGACAATGGCCATGGTGGTTTCTCCTTCCGGTCCCCAATCCCCCCATTCCATGTCCACGGGAGCCAGGTGACCTCTGAACAACTTTGTTTCCACTCTAGGGTATGGTGTTGTGCACACAGCCTCACCAGCTGAGGGCCCCCACGTGTTCCTGATCCACGTGGTGCTGCTGGTCTTTCAGGCACCCCTGCACAGTTCCACTTTCCTCACCCTCCCCTCCCACTCCCAGAACACACCAAGACCAGTCTGCGTGCTATTACATGCACCATTCCCCCCGAGACGCCTTTCCTCCTCTTGTCCACCTTCAAAGTAGCTAACTCAAACCACTGCGCCTCCAGAGGCCGACAGCCTGCACCCCTCCACCTTGTCACTGCCGTCCTCAGCCCTGTCTAGTCCTTGCTTGTTTCTGTGTCCTGGCACCCTTACCATCTCCCACAGCACCTGGCACCCAGCAGTCCCAGCCCAGCATGCTGAATCGCATCGCACTCTGCTGGGACCATGGTGTCCTCTCTGAGATTTCTTTTTAATGACCCGTGTGTTACCATGGGCAGGTCACTACAGTCACCATAGCTGGGCTTCAGGTCTTCATCTGTAGGAGTGGCAGCACCTCCCTCCTCAGGCTGGCGCACGAGTTAAGACTGAGGCCGGCAGGCGGCAGGGGTCCAGTCAGCAGCAGCTGGCACTGCCACCGTGATCGCCTGGAGAAAACAGGGTCGCCGCAGCCCCAGATTCCCACACTGCTCTGCTCTGCTCTGCTCTCTTCCTGACAGGCAAGCAGGAGGGAAAGAACCACAGGACACAGGCTTGCTGGTTGTATAAAAATAGTACTTTTTTCCCCTCATTATCACATCAATTATCAAAGAAAGAAACAGTACGTCGTAACAAAAATACAAAGCTCTGGTGGATTTTTTTTGTCTGTTTTTGTTTTTTCCCCAACTTGTCCCTCCCCAAGAGCCCCTTGCCAGGGATCCCCTGGCTGAAGCCTGGATGCTGTCCCTGGGGTCACCCTGGGGCTCAGGAGAACCGGTGGTCTAGGTCTCTCTGTGGGCTGGCTGAGTACGAGTAGGCCTTGCCCAACACCAGGCGGTCCCGCAGCAGCTTGAAGAAGGCGTAGTAGTTGCTGAAGAGGATGAGGGCCAGGGAGATGGTCTGGTGCCACTTTTCGGAGGACATTAAGGAGTACAGCTGGTAGACGATGACAGCGCCTTCCAGCAGCAGCAAGATGTTGAGGATCCGCAGGGGTTTGCTGAAAAAGAACTGCCCAGGAAAGGGTAGGCATGGACTGGAAGGCCTGCTCTTGGATGGGGGTTCCATCCAGGTGGGCCAGTGAAGGGGATAAGCTCTTGAACCCCATGCAGACTTTGGAGGGCTGGGTATGGGCTTTGCCACCCCGTCTGCTTTTGCCTGTGTTCACTTTGACAGGACTGCTGCTTCCCACCTAAGTTGTTTAAGATCCTGTTCAGCTCTACCTCCTCCAGGAAGTCTTTCTGGGAAGGTCTTGTTTGCTTTCCAACTCTTTCTGGTCTAAAACCAACACCTATTGGTAGGTCATCCTTCTGGGTATTGTTAGACCTGAACAAACTAGAATCTTATCACCCAGGCACGGAAAGTTATTGTGGACTCTGGCCTCAGTTGCCTATTTCATGCTAGCATCCCTAGCTAGGCTGGAATCTTCCAGGGGACATGGCAATATCTCATTTTTACCTGGTGTTTAGGGTAAGGACCTAGTAGGGACTCAAGGAAAATGTGATCAGTTGAAAAGGGTGCCCAATGTCTAGGGATCCCAATTTTGCAAGAGCTGCTTACAGGCTGGGAGGAAGAGGAGCAGGAAATGGGAACTCAGAGGTCAGGATGCCGGGCTCAGCTCTGCAGGTGCCAGGCCGCAAGACTGTGGGCCAGTTTCTTCCCTCTCTAGGTCTCACATTGCTCAACCGTGAGATGAAGCTATCAGCCCAGATCAGTGATGTCACAAACCAGCTCTCCCCCAGGTTCCAAGCAGGCCCCTTAGGAGCTATGGTAGGGATAGATGGGAAGTGAAAGGCGTGCCAATCTCTTCAAATACAGCAGTGCCATGAGGTCTTATCTGTTGGGCTTTGGTCTCTGACTGTTGAAAAAAAGAATTTTGACTGTGAAATAAATAAATAAATAAGCCCGAGGGCACTAGCCTAGATGATTTTGATCAGCCTTTCCATAGTGCTGAATCAGTCCCATCATGAGTCACTGCCATCAGAACCTGCGTTGTTGCCATCAATTCCCAAGCTTCCCAGTAAGGCACCCTCGGCCGAGTTTAACTCTAAGCCAGTTTCAGCATCGGAAAACAGGGCAGCCTTGGCACCTCTCTCCCACACAGGTTCAGAGATGACTAAGCCGGAGGGTGCAGGGGAAGTGCTCAGCAAAGTGCCTGGCACACGACAGGGAATGATGGCAATTATTGTTTCCCTGTCTGGAACCCCTTCTTCTGCTTACTGTCTTCGTTCCCTCTATCCAATATCTACCTTTTTAATTGTTTGTTGTTTTTTTCACCTGAGAGGTAGAGAGAGAGAATGAGAGAAGAAAGGAGAGAGCTCCCATCTACTGGTTCAATCCCCAAATGCCTGCAACGGCTGGGGCTGCACCAAGGCTGAAGCTAGGACCCAGGACACTGGTCCAGATCTCGCATGTGGGAGGCAGGAACCCAATCACTGGAGCCATCATTGCTGCCTCCCAGGATCTGTATTAGCAAGCAGCTGGAGTCAGGAGCCAGAGCCGGGCATCAAGCCCAGGCCTCTGATGTGGGACATGGGCGTCTCAACCACCAGGCTCAGTGCCCACCCGGAACTGGTATTTTGAGGGATCTGTCACAAGGAAAGCCGTAGCCATTAAACAGTGATTTGTATGGCTGTGGTGCTACATGTGCACAGTGTCTTTCTTTGGATTCGGGCAATACTGAAAAGATCTCTCCCCTGCTTTGACATCACGTTCCTGCCCTGCCCACCCTCCTGCCCTGCCCACCCTCCTGCCCTCTAGAACAGGCCCCACCCCTCCTTCCCAGGGGAAGCGACTCACGTGGAACCGGAAGTGGGAGACGTCGGAGGGGATGGCCACGTTGTAGTGGCCCACTGCCTTGTAGACATTCTTGCTGTGCTTCACCAGCACACCCTGCGGCCACATGCATTCTTCAGTCCACCTGGAGGCACAGCCAACAGCGCCCCTTACTCCCAGGTCACCCACAAACAGGTGTCTCAGAAGACTGGACGGGGGGTGATCACCAGGGCTCTACTCCCATTTCTATCACCTAGATACATGACTTTCCCTTTCTGGGTCCCAGTCGCTTCCTCTATGAAATGGGTTAAGAACCATGAGAAGTCTACTGCACGGGGTGTCTAAAGGTCTAGAACCAACACTAATTACTAAGGGTTGCAAGCACACTTTTTCCTCTCTGGGTGCATTTGCTTCCTCTGGTCTGTCTCTAGCATCTACTGAGTCCACCACACAGCTGTCTGAATGGTCTTTGTAAAATGCAACTTGAGCCAGATCAGCCCTGCTTAAAAATGCGCTGAAGGCTTCCTGGTGACCTTGGGGTCCAGGCCCCAGGATCTGGCACAACGAGAACCTCATGGCAGCCACGACTCCCACCACGCAGCTCATGCTCAAGCCGCTCCGAGCTGTTCCTCCAGCACACAGTACCACCTCATGTCTCTGCGAAAGCCACTGCCTCCAATTAGACTGTGCCCCTCATCATCTTTCAAAACACAAGTTCCTCGCGAAAGCCATTCTCCAACGCCCCCTAGTTCAAAACCCTTTACAAACCCTTTAACTGCTCCCTGAATCGCCTGCGCTGGTCCTCATTCCCTAGCGTCGCTCACTTTTTTATTTCCCTTTCTGTATGCCTCACTAGGCTGCAGCCCTTCAGGGAGGGACGGCATCCACTTCAGCCCAGTGTCCTCAGAGCAAACACAAAGCCTGGCACAGAGAGGATGTGCATGAGCTGGCAGGGACACAGAGCTTTCTTCTCATGTTCCTGAGATCTCCCAGAAACCCCAAGGCTCCTGGGCCAGAAGACTGCGAACCATAGCCTGCAAGCAGCCCCTTCCTCAATCCCACTCTCCTGCCTTATTCATTCAATTAAAAACTCGTTATTGGGGCTCAGCAGGTTAGGCTGTCGCTTCCAACACTGGCAGCCCATCTCGGAGGGCTGATTCAAGTCCCAGCTACTCCACTTCCAATTCAGCTTCCTGCAATGCACCTGGGAAGGCACCAGAAGCTAGCCCAAGTGCTTAGGTCCCTGCTGTCCATGTGGGAGACCCAGATAAGTTCCTGGCTATGGCCTAGCCCAGCCTTGGCCATAGTGGCCATTTGTGAAATGAACCAGCAGATGAGAGATCTCTCTCCTTCTATCTCTCATGCTCTGCCTTCCAAATAATAAATAAAACATATATTAGAATAAAAACATCATAAAAAAGAAAACCTAGTTATCATGTTGTATACATCCACACAAATGAACCTCGCAGACAATATGTTAAATGAAAGAAAGCTGGACACAAGAGTATCTTGCGTATAATTTCATTTATATCCAGTTCTAGAATAGACGAAACTAATCTATACAAGGAAAGAGAGCAGATATGTGTTGCCCTGGCAGGGAGGGGTCATTGGGAAGGGGCACGAAAAAATTTCCTGAGGGCCTGAAAATGTTCTAGTCTTGCTAGGGGTGGCAGGTTATATGGGAATATGTGCCTTCATCAAAACTTAAAGAATTATACACTGTAAGATTTGCATATTGTGCTGCATGTACACACATTAAAAAAAAAAAAACTACACACACAAAGACTACACACAAAATACACAAAAAGTCTGCAGCATCTCCATTGTAAACCAGGCACTCTGCTGGGAGCCACGAGACAGCTCGGTGCAGGGCAGGCAAGGGCCCTGACCTCCAGCAGCTTCTGGTGCTTGGACGACAGCCTGCTTACTGAGCAGTCAGCACAAAGTGTGTGCAGTGATCTGGGTGCTATGGGCCAATGCAGGGAGGCCTCTCAGAGGGGGAGGGCACAGCCCACCGAGGCTGGTCAGCAAGGTGCTCCTGCAGGATCAGGAGTGGCCAACTAGGAGAGAAGGCAGCAAAGGCATTGCAGGCAAGAGCCACATCACGTGCAAAAGCCTGGCTGCGGAGCCGGGGAAAGCACGTGAGGACCCGAAGTTCCATCTGGCGAGCTTGGAGTGCGAGCCGCCCATGGGAAGAGATGGGGCAGACAAGCCTGGCGGGGCCCTGGTCATCAGCAGGAAACCACGCAAATAAACACGAATCTTACCTGATGACTAAAGTGAGCCAAGGACAGCTTTATTCTCCTAATCAGCTAAGTTTTATATTCTTTTTTCTTTTTTAAATTGTATTTTTATATATTTGAAAGGCAGAGAGAGAGAGCAAGCGAGCAGCCCTGGCTGGGCTGGGCCATGAAATCCACCTGGGTCTCCCATATGGTGTCAGGGATCCAACCGCCTGAGCCACTGCCCACTGCCCTCCAGCGTATGCATTAGCAGGAAGCTGGAATCAGAACACGGGCTGAGATTTGAACCCAGGCACTCCAATATGGCATGCAGGTGTTTGAGTGGCATCTTAACCTCTGGGAAAGACGCCCCCTCCACTTCCATCGTCCTGATTCTCCCAGCCCTCAGAGCCTGAGGCTAAGCAACCCCCGTTTCTGGCCCATTCAGCAATCCCCAGTTGCTTTTCTGAATCTCCTGGTCCGAGCCTGAAAGGGATGGACCTGCCTGGTACAGAGGGCCAACACCAGGAGGCTCGGCTTCTGTGGCCTCCCTTGGCATCTCTGCTTCTCCACGGGCTGACCTCTACAAACCTGTCCTAGGGGCCTCCTCTCTGCCTGGCCTCGTCCTGGACCCAAGACTCAGATGTGATTCAGAGGTGGTCCTGGCTTTGAGGAGCTTCCAGTCTAGTGAGGGAATACAGGCAGGAAAATTAGTATAACCTGGAGTGAAAAGTGCTTTGATCAAGGGCAACAGGAATGCTGACAGACACCTAAGGGGGAGGAGCCAAGCTGAGGGGAGGAGAGCCTAGCACCTCACGGCTCCTGAGCAGGTGACTTTCTGCCTCTGCTCTGGGTGTGGTGCCACCATGCAGCCAGGCGTCTTCACTCTGCTGGTCCAAACACTTGTGTGCAAAGCTAGCTCCCCCACCAGACTGTGAACTCACTGAGAGTCTCATCTGTTATGTCCCCCGTGGCTCTCCAGGATTCACCATAGGCTATCCTACCAACTGTCCTGTTACCAATGCTGTTTCCAAAGCACACCCAGGAATAGGTCCCCTCACTGTTCAAAATCCTCTACGGCTCTCCTTGGCTCAGTACAAGCATTGGAACTGGTCTGGATTTTCTAATGTAAATGTAAATGGAGAAGTCAAGTCTGCCGAAAGAGCAGGTGATCTAATGATCGAGTGGATGAACAAGTGAAAAAGGAGTGAAGCAATGACTGACTGCCCAACAAATTCACCCATGAGTGAATAAATAAATCAGCGAATGACAAAGTCTATGAGCTTTTATCACGTGTCCCCCTTCCATCTCCAGTACACTGCAAGGTACCCAAGAACAGGGAGCATGTCTGTCTTGGGTGCCACCGTCCCCAACCCTGGACACAGGCCTAATATACAAGACAAACTCAGTAACTATTGGCTCACTCACTGAATCAATCAATGGGTGGGTGGGCAAGTGACTCCGGACATTGGCCAGGAGGACTGGGGTGGGGGGAGGGCAGGTAGAGCAAGGCGGGGCAACTCACGGATGCTGTAGCACGTTGGAGCACAGCGCTGGGTCCACCTTCTGCCAGCAGCCCAGATGGGCAGCGGCCTTGTGCAGCAGGTCACAGTAGCTGGCAGGCAGCAGGTGCTGCATGAGGATCACCGAGGTGCTGATGGACACCAGCAGGAAGAGCTCACAGGACCAACGCTTGTCGTAGTAATGTGTGTTCTGGGGACAGCAGGAGGTGAGTGAGGCCTGGGTACTAGAATGGTCTCCATCCCTCTCCCTTCCCTGCTTCTACCTGCCTTGGAGTAACCTAATGGATAATCCTGGGGAGCCTTTCTGAAACCAAGAATCAAAGACCTACCAAAGAAGGCCTAGGCCCTGTGCCTACTGCACCAGTCAGATTTCTACAAAGAAAAACTGCTTCTACTGCCTCCCACTGTGAACCAGCACACAGGCTCTGGGGTCCAGCGGACCTGAATTCAAACCTTGGCTCTGCTGTTTACTGACTCTGTGACTTTGGGCAAGGCATTTATTTCTCTGTGCATTAGTTCTTCATCTGCTGAATGAGGGTAAGAGCAACCACCAGCTACCTCAGAGAGGTGTCTGGAGGATTGAAATACACACACAAGCTCCTAGCGCGTTGCAGGTGCTCAAGAGACAGGAAGTCCCGTCAACCCCAGTCACTCAGCGGAGCATGTCCTGTGCAGCGGGGGAGGTACCTTCCCAGGAGGTCATATGAGCAAGAATGAGCATAGGCCTTAGGTTATTCAGATCTGGAGGAATCCCAGTTTCCCTACTTAATGATGAAGCAAACTGGCACGGCCCTGTGAGAAGAGCCACTGAAACAGTCACTGCTCTTTGTTATCAGGTATTCTGAACATCGTCAGGTCTCCCCATGGGCTGCGTGACCTTGCCTAGGTCACTTCCTTCCAGTGACTTCTGTTGTCTGCATTCTAAGATGGAGACAGTAGCTCCTCCAGTTCTCCAGAGCAGAACGGGTGGGAAATCCATCAAGCAACAGCAGTTATCTAGCCAATCGGGAGGGCTCCAGGGGACAAGCAGGGTGGTGAAGTCCCAGCAGGGGAAGAAGGACGGGGCAGGGCCCTCTACCTCCCTGGGCGGAGCTACGCACCTTCACAAACCAGACAGGCACAAAGGCCACGTAATAGGCGCTCAGCATGGCGCTCACGAGCACTTCCTTCATGCGCCAGTTGAAGTCCATCTTGAGGAACTCCACCTCGCTGCGGATGAGGCTGGGTGACAGGCAGCAGGCATGGGTGGGCATGGCCTCCGGGCCATACAGCTGTCGCGTGTGCTGCTTCCATGTCTCCCGCAGTGTCAGCAGGTAGTCCCGGCTCCTTGCTAGGCCGCTCACTGCCTCACGCGGCCCCAAGGAGGCCACGTGGCTGAAGAGGTTCGTCTTGCGGAGATCACAGTTGAGCTGCAGGAACGGAATGTACATCCCAAACCTGCTGCGGAAGACAGTGGTAAGGGCCGGCCTGCCCACGAGGCGGAAGCTTCCTTCCTCCCCAGGCCTCAGCTTCCTGGCTGCCCAGGGGCAGGATTTACCCCTCTTCCCACCCATTCATCCTCCCACCAATGGTCAGTCTTTCAACACAAGTTGAGTGCACACACTGAGAGCATGCCGAGCACTGGAGGGCAGCAGGAAGCAGAGACAAGTCCCTGCCCTCACGCACGGCCTAGTGATGACGGACAACAATCGGAACGGCCCACATCCGCAGGGCACAGCCCGCGCCCCAGACACTGCGCTGAATGCTTCACTCGTACCCTCCTCTTTTCTTGTGAGAACACTAAGCGCTAGGTCCCGTCATTCTGTCCCCTTTTGAGCTGAGGAAGCTGGGGCTCAGAGGTGAATTCCCAGACGTTACACAATTAGTAAGGAAGAAACAGAGCCAGGCTCAAGGCTGGACTATCTGGTACTGCAGATGGAGACAGATACTCACAAATCACCACAAGTAATGAGTGAATCAGAAGTGCACACAACGCCAGAGAACAGGGGCATGGTACTTGTGGACATGAGAGAGGCAGCTCTGCAGCTGGCAGGAAGGAAAGAACAGCAACAAATATTCACCTATGATGTGCCAGGCCCGGCTACAGGCCCTGGGACATGTCAGTTCCCTCTCCTTGAGCAGCACCCTAGGGCAGGCCTGGAGCTAATTAGCCAAAGCATTGTTTTCTGCATGTGTGGCTGGTACTGTGTGGGGAAACTGGCCGACAGCCTGGAAGAGTAATTTATACAGGGGCTGGCACTGTCGCATTGCAGGTAAAGCCACCACCTGCAGTGCTGGCATCCCATATGGGCACCAGTTCGAGTCCTGGCTGCTCCACTTCTGATCCAGCTCTCTGCTATGGCCTGGGAAAGCAGTAGAAGATGGCTCAAGTCCTTGGGTTCCTGCACCCGTGTGGGAGACCCAGAAGAAGCTCCTGGCTCTTGGCTCCTGGCTTCGAATCGGCCCAGCTCTGGCTTTTGCAGCCATTTGGGGAGTGAACCAGTAGATGGAAGCCCTTTCTCTCTCTCTGCCTCTGCCTTCTGTAATTCTGCCTTTCAAATAAATACATAAATCTTAAAAAAAAATTATACAGAGTGAGTGAGCGCCAGGCACAATGTGCAGCACATCACAGGAGGTGCTTTTTATAAGTAGTTTTCTCTTTCATTTTGGGGCCTCTCAAATTCCCCAGCTCCCGGAATGACACAGCCTGAAATGGGTCCCTGGGCTGCCATGGGTTAGGGTCAATGACAATGCTGCATTTCTTAACAGCACTTTTTCTTTGGAGTCCCAAGAGGGATATTCAAGTGTTAACAGCACTTTTTCTTTGGAGTCCCAAGAGGGATATTCAAGTGTCCTTGAACAAGTAACAAGCTTCCTTGGGTTGCTGTTTTCTGGTCTATAAAATGGGGATGCCTGTGTGGGAGAAGCTCCTGGCTCCTGGCTTCAGACTGGTGCAGCTCTGGCTGTTGTGGCCATCTGGGGATGAACCAGCAGATGAAAGATCTCTTTCTTTCTTTCTTTCTTTCTTTCTTTCTTTCTTTCTTTCTTTCTTTCTTTCTTTCTTTCTTTCTTTATAACATCACATTCTACTTACTTCTTTTTTTTTTTTTATTTTTTTTTGACAGGCAGAGTGGACAGTGAGAGAGAGAGACAGAGAGAAAGGTCTTCCTTTGCTGCTGGTTCACCCTCCAATGGCCGCCACAGCCAGCGCACTGTGGCCAGCATACCACGCCGATCCGAAGCCAGGAGCCAGGTGCCTCTGCTGGTCTTCCATGGGGTGCAGGGCCCAAGCACTTGGGCCATCCTCCACTGCACTCCCTGGCCACAGCAGAGGGGCAACCGGGACAGAATCCGGCACCCCGACCAGGACTAGAACTCGGTGTGCCGGTGCTGCAGGCGGAAGATTAGCCTATTGAGCTGTGGCACCGGCCAAATCTCTTTCTCTCTCTGCCTCTCTGTAACTCTTGCTTTCAAATAAATAAATAAGTAAGTCTTTAAAACAAGGAAAAAAAGGAGGGGGAGGGCTGGCACTGTGGTGCAGGGGGTTAAAGCCCCAGCGTGCAGCACCGAAGGCACCAGTTCAAGTCCTGGATGCTCTTCTTCTGATCCAGTTATCTGCTGTGGCCTGGGAAAGCAGTAGAAGACGGCCCAACTCTTTGGGCCCCTGCACCCCTATGGGAGACCTGGAAGAAGCTCCTGGCTCCTGATCAGCTCAGCTCTGTCCATTGTGGTCATTTGGGGAGTGAACCAGCAGAATGGAAAACCTCTCTCTCTCGGCTCTACTTCTGTCTGAAACTCTTTCAAATAAATAAAATAATTCTTAAAAAAAAAAAAAAAAAGGCAGGAGATACCAGCATCCTTCCTGCATTAAGGTTAAATAAAGTATCTTAGAAAACTATGGCTAGCTGGCACCACGGCTCACTAGGCTAATCCTCTGCCTGCGACGCCGGCACACCGGGTTCTAGTCCCAGTCGGGGCACCGGATTCTTTCCTGGTTGCTCCACTTCCAGGCCAGCTCTCTGCTGTGGCCAGGGAGTGCAGTGGAGGATGGCCCAGGTCCTTGGGCCCTGCACCCACATGGGAGACCAGGAGAAGCACCTGGCTCCTGGCTTCGGATCGGCACAGCGTGCCGGCTGCAGCAGCCACTTGGGGGCTGAACCAACGGAAAAAGCAAGATCTTTCTCTCTGACTCTCTCTATCTCACTAACTCTGCCCGTAAAAAAAAAAAAAGAAAATTATGGCCAACAGCAGCATGATCTTTATGGTCAAACAGGCCTGAATTCCAGCTCTGCCACCTGCTAGCTCTGTGATTTAAGGCAAGTTGCTTAACCTTTATAAGCCTCAGTTTCCTTAATCTTAATCTGCCTGAGTTCCATAGTTTGTATTGCTCCTCTACCCTGAGTTTTCAGAAATACAGGCTGAGTATGCCTTATTCCAGAAGCTTGGGATCAGGGATAGTTCAGAGTTTGGATTTTGGAATATTTGAGTATACATAATGAGTTATCTTGAGGATGTGACCCAAGTCTAAATATGAAACTAATTAATGTCTCACGTATACCTTAGGCCTGAAGGTATTTTATATATAATATTTTAAATAATCTTATGCAGGAAACAAAGTTCTGCGGTGTGGAATTTCCCATTTTGGATTTTTGGATTAGGGATGCTCAGCTTGGGCTGTTAGTCCTTGAACAACACCCAACATAGTAACTGGCTCGGAGTAGATCAGTGTGACTCTGTCTCTAAAGGAGGCCAATGATTCTGCAGGAGTATGAAAGTTGGCTGAAGGGGGATTTTGCAAACACCTTGTAGGAAATAGGTGGCGGGGGCTCTAATGTGAACACAGAGGAGACTCGGACTCACAGGCAAGCACTTAGGAAGCTCCCTGGCTTTGCCTCTAAAAAGGACTCCAGATAGATCCTTTAAATTTAAATTAAATGGGCTCTCTCTTTGCCGCATCTACTGCGAGAATGAAGACCATTCTCAGCAATCAGACGGTCGACATCCCAGAAAATGTCGACATCAGTCTGAAGGGGCGCACAGTCATTGTGAAGGGGCCCAGAGGAACCCTGCGGAGGGACTTCAACCACATCAATGTGGAACTCAGTCTCCTGGGAAAGAAAAAGAAGAGGCTCCGGGTTGACAAATGGTGGGGAAATAGAAAGGAACTGGCAACTGTTCGCACGATCTGTAGTCACGTACAGAATATGATCAAGGGGGTTACACTGGGCTTCCGATACAAGATGAGGTCAGTGTATGCTCACTTCCCCATCAACGTGGTTATTCAAGAGAATGGGTCTCTTGTTGAAATTAGAAATTTCTTGGGTGAAAAGTACATCCGAAGGGTTCGGATGAGGCCAGGTGTTGCCTGTTCAGTGTCTCAAGCCCAGAAAGATGAATTAGTGCTTGAAGGAAATGACATTGAACTTGTTTCAAATTCAGCTGCTTTGATTCAGCAGGCAACAACAGTTAAAAATAAAGATATCAGAAAATTTTTGGATGGTATCTATGTCTCTGAAAAAGGAACAGTTCAACAGGCTGATGAATAAGACCTAAAAGTTATCCGGCTGCAGAAACAAGAACCCAGATTGTGTCTTGTGGTATTTTAATAATGCAATAAAAGATTATTGATTTGAAAAAAAAAAATTTAAATTAAATGATCAATTAAATTATTTGATGACAGTAAATGAGTTCTCCAACAGGCCAGAAGTTAGAAGCAGCTTCACATGCAAGACAGCAAATTTCTTCCCATCCCTACATTCAACACATGACAGTATAAATGTGGAAAATGACTCCACATTGGCAAAAAAAAAAAAAAGGGGGAGGGAGTCAACAGTACACAAATGATTTTGACAAATTTAGGAAGCAGATGGAAATGTGTTGACAGATAAGGAGGAAACCATCTCTGAAAAGGGGTGGGGAACTTTCTTTCTGTCAAGGGCCATGTGTGTATTTATAACATCTTTAGGCCAGCGCAGCGGCTCACTAGGCTAATCCTCCGCCTTGCGGCGCCGGCACACCGGGTTCTAGTCCCAGTCGGGGCGCCGGATTCTGTCCCGGTTACCCCTCTTCCAGGCCAGCTCTCTGCTGTGGCCAGGGAGTACAGTGAAGGATGGCCCAAGTGCTTGGGCCCTGCACCCCATGGGAGACCAGGATAAGTACCTGGCTCCTGCCATCGGATCAGTGCGGTGCGCTGGCTGCAGCGCGCTGGCCGCGGCGGCCATTGGAGGGTGAATCAACAGCAAAGGAAGACCTTTCTCTCTGTCTCTCTCTCTCACTGTCCACTCTGCCTGTCAAACAAAACAAAACAAAACAAAACAAAACAAAACACCACATCTTTAGTAGGCCCTACAATGTTATCAGCTTAAAATGAACCTGCAGGGATCGATGCTGTGGCGTAGTAGGTAAAGTCGCTGCCTGCAATGCCAGCATCCCATATGGGCGCCAGTTCAAGTCCCAGC